TAACTTTAAAATCATCACTTAGAACTTTAATTAATTCTGGATTTTGACGAATAAGTTCTATTTCTGCTTTAACTACTTCTTTTGTTAATGTCAATGTTGTTTCATAACTTGCTTTTGCTTTCTTCCATAAAGTACGAACAGCACATTCAAAGAAATACGCATTTTCTAATATGTCATTTATTGAATATTTTCCATCAAATGTGATTGAACTTCCAACAAAAACTTTTTTTGCTCTTGACGTCTTTTTAGTTTTATCTATTGTAACTTCTGCACCACAAATAAATGAAAGAAGAAGTAACTCTCTATTACAAATAGCTCTTTTATTTCTTCCTTCTCTCTGTTTAAGTGCTTCACTTGATATTCGAGGATCAGTCATGAAATAAAAATTATTAAAAAGATGTAAATTAAAAAGATAGAAAATGATTGAGTTGTTCTTACTAGTATATCAACTTAATGCACTTTTATTCAAATCCTTTTTTCTTATAAATTCAACGAATGAACCTTTTTTTCAACTTTGAATATTCTTCTCCTAGTCTAGAACAAAAAGAATATTAAAAAGAGACTTTTTTAAATTAAGAATATAAGAATTATAGTATTAATGGCATATTTCTTTTTAGTTTCTTTTCCATATTAAAACCATATTCCGTTAAAAATATTCTGTGAAATACTATCTTTGACAGAACGTCACGAAATTAAAAATTCTTTTAAAGTTAGTATTAGTTGGTACAAATTCTATTAGAATTTTTACCTATTATTATTTCTTTTAAAGAATATACAAAAATGATAAGAATTTGAAAAATATATCTAATAATTTATCTTCTAGTTATATAAATTTCATTCAATAATACAAATTACTTTTTAATTAGACTAACCAAATAAGTCATAGACTTTAAAATTAGATCCTAATTTTTTTAGTTATGTAATAAGTGTGTATTAATTAATGTGTTGTGTTAATAACATAAGTTTCAATAAAATAATTTTTAATAAATTATTATAACTAAAGAAATAAAACCAAAAACAATCAATTAAAATTCTATTATTTTATTTTCATTATAAATTGAAGTTTTTTAATAATTCCAAATGGTTCTTCAATTGAGATATGTTACAATATTATTACGAACATCAATCATAATTTAAATTTATATTGACACACTAATTCTTACTATTGTTTATTAAATAGAAATATTAACATTTTCTTTCCTATCATAATTGTAAAAAAATTAATAGCATCGTTATTACTCCTCCTATTGTTTAAATTGAGGGTTGAACCTTTTTTAATCTCTAGTGGTTTGTAATTTATCGTGTTATAGATATTTTTGAAATAATACCTGATTTCCTTTTTGTGGTGTCAAAATGTGTTTTACTTAATTCTACATTTCTAATAAAATAAAAATCAATTGTGGTATTTTTTAACCATTGACCAAAATTCTCTTAGAATAACGAAAAATATTTTAAAATTCTTTATGGTGATGAAAAAAATTCATTTAATACAAAAAAAAAACAATTCAAAAAAGAAAAACTTAAAATAACTGTTTTATGAAATATTTATTGGTATATATTTACTTATTAATTTTGGTTAATGCTCAAAACACATGTACTAACAGCCAATGTAAAGAAGTTGATTATGTTATTCATGAGCAGAGCGTTGATGATGAATCAGATCCGTACTGGGAAGACATTATTAAAATATTAAAAGACATCTTAGGAGATAATTATGTATATATCATAAATGATGGGGATAGTCCAAAAGAAGTCTTTAGAAAAATTGGTAATTTCATAAATAACAATTGGATGGTAAAACACATAAAAAGAGTTTTTGAGACGTCTATCGAGTTTAAAGGGTTATTAATTGATTTTTACACAACATGCAAGATTGGAATAAAAATGCAAACAGAAACGGATAAAGATAAATTGAATTCAATGAAAGCCCAACTAAAAAAATCACTTGAAGGCATTCGAGCACGAGTAAATTTATTTAGGAATTGGTTGGACAAAACAGGTATAAAAGAAAAGACTCAAGACGTTATCACTTCTGTATCAACCACACTACATAAAATGATTGATTTTGGAGCTACTAAATTAAATGATTTTACAAAGAACACAAAGAAATGGGCAAAAGAAAAAGTTCATGATTTAAAAAGAAATTTTTATAATGAATATTTTTAAGTAATGATTTGTTGGTTGTGTAATTGACAATTTATTTTTTTTTATTCAAGAATAAAGCTTTAAAAAATTAATATTGAAATTAATAACTTGAATATTTTAGACAAATTCATTTATATTTTTTATACCTTTAATAATAAATTAATATTAAAGTTTTGAAATAATTTTCTTTAAAAGAAAGGAAAAATGTATTTAAGAAAATGAAATAATTTTACTTTTTATATAATGCAAATCTAATTTATGGATATTTTTAATTATTAATTCTATGGATTGATTTGAATTAATGTTAAATTATTTATAAATTATTTTTAATGAAATAAACATCATAAGTACTTTTTCAAATAGTAAGTATTGATAAATATATATTCTTTGTAGTCTTAATGAGTATATTCTTATTATTATAAACTTAGTTTTATGATTTTCATTATATTTATTCTTGATTTATTCTTGATTTATTCTTCTTTTATTAAAATATCGTTTGGTTCTTCTGTTGTTATAGTTTAAACATTTTTTTTTAGTTATAAATAAGAAAAGATGAATGATAGAAATTAAATAAAATTTAGTTTATAGAATAAGCTGTTATTCTCTTTAATTAGAGATACAATAATTATTTTGATTATTATCATACTCTAATATTCTTTGTCTATCAAATTATTAATAGAATAATAGTTATTTATTTTAATTTTTTCACTTAAAATACAATGAGTTAATGTTTATTTAAAGACAAAAAAAAAGATTTAAAATAATATAGTTAATTAATTAAAAAGAGAATTAAAAATTTGATAATATAAAAGATATTTTGAATAAATAACCTTTTTTGGTTCTATTTTTATTTTTCTCTTTTTCAAGAAAGAAGTCCAAATAATTAATAAAAATCAAACAATTAAAATAGAAAGTAACAGAGATAAGAGAAAAGATAAAAAAAAGAAATAGAAAAATAGAATGATATTAAAACTAAATAAAAACTACAATAAAATGAAAATAAGAGAAAAAATGAAAATTAAAAAAGAAAAATAAAAAAGAAGAACAGAGAAACGAGGAACTATAATTTTTTCAAAATTTCCTTTTAAAAAAGAAAAAAAATGGATGGAGGAAATGAAAATATTATTCTTGAATTACCTGAAGGATATGATGTTAGTAATGGATTTGAGGTAATGGACTGTAATTATGAGAAACCTATTATTCGAATTGGAAGTAGCTATTTCGAAGCTACTTTAAAAGAAACAGAAAATTCAGATATTGTCGTTGACCTAAATGGGAAATCCAATTCCATTTCTTGCCAAAGGTACGTTTGTAATCTTATTGATATTCATACGTTCCAACCAATCAAACACGACCCTTAAATTGAATTGTTTGTTGATTGCCATCATATCATTGATGATGTTATTTTAAATA